CGGGCAGAGCCTGCTCACGTGTCCCTCCCTTGCAGGAACTGGCCAAGTACGAGGACATGGAGGATCAAGTGGTGCTGACTGAGAAAGGTATAAAAGCGGCGTCTGCTCACCGGGCTGGTAGCCTGGTGGCCATACCTGTAGCTCAGGTGCCGATTTATTCTGCTTTTCTAGAGCTGCTTGAGGATGGTTTCGGTGAGCACCCTTTCTACCACTGTCTGGTTGCAGAAGTGCCAAAAGACCAGTGGTCGTCTGAAGGTGAGGCTTCCTGATACTTAATTTTGGATGCTAAATACACGAGAGGCACCTTATACTTAATGTTGTCGATTATACGTAAGGTTCTGCCAGTGAATCGGGGTAGGAGGAATAGGTTAACTGTTAAATGCAGTAACATACAGCGATACTCTGCTGAAGTAGTTGCTAGTGCTGGAGGCGTGGGAAGATCAGGTATAACATAATGTACTTGACTCCAATTAATTAAATGGCTTTTCTTGTTTGACCCTGACTTACCTTTATGTAATCCTGTTGAATCACATTTTTTTCTTTAATTTGTCCCCAATCTTCAGGTTACAGTCTCTAGCTTCGCCATGTACATGGCCCTTCCGTGTACATGGATGGGCGGGGAGGTAACTAAAAGATCCGTTACACAATAAAGTAGATGATCATAATATGAGGTAAGGTCTACAGGGACAAGTGCTATTCCCAAACCTTTACCAAAGACACAGTAGATCAGAAATCTGTTTGCACGCTTCTCTTGCAGTATTTGCAGAGTGTTATGGCAGATGTAGTTAAAACAGTCAAGATTCAGGTTTGAGTGGGCTGCTGGTGGAAGAGTTGGTTTCTCTTGCCTGTTGAGCCGCACAGTTAAAATGGAAGCTGCAGCTTTATTTACCTTGACTTGGTGGTGCTGAAGGTAAACAAAACTGTGTGATGCTCTCACTGGAAGCCTAAGTTGAGGTGCTGGAAATGCTGCTGTAAAGGTGGCCTGCAAGCATGCCTTCTCACACTGTGTAGTTACTGAGGAATATACATTGGAAGATCCGTGTTCTTTAGAGTTTGATCGACTGTTTCGGTTGCTAAGGAAGCAGAGTTGGGGCAATCATCTAGATTGTGAACTGCTGTATAAGTTTTTACTTGTGTTCCAGAATGGAAATACTGATAAATCAGTAGGGTGTACATTCGTGTGTAGAAAAAGCCTTCTGTTCAGCACTTACTATGATTAGTACTTTTGAGGATTTCAGGGTATGGCAAGGGCAGTAGTCTTTCTGTTAGGTTGATGCAAGTTTGTCAGAAGTTTTATTTTCAGTTGTGTGCTTATTTGCAAACTTGATTCTTAACTGTAGCCTAATAGCAAATGTCTGCATGTCACAGAAAGAGAACCTGTATGTTTAAACATGCATGTAAGACTTAAAATATTTTAGCCTTTTAACTTCAGACTAGCTAAAGTTACACCCTTTGTTTCAGAACACTGCATTGTGGGCTTTGCCATGTATTACTTCACTTATGATCCATGGATTGGAAAACTGCTGTATCTTGAAGATTTTTATGTGATGGCTGAGTATAGGGGTATGTATTACAGAATTAGATTATTTCCTTCCTATAGGGCTTTAAAATTAAAACCTAGTTTCTTACTGTGTGTTGGGTTTTTTTTAGGACTTGGCATTGGGTCGGAAATTCTGAAGAACTTGAGTCAGGTATGTTGAAGTGCTAAGTCTAAATGAGCAGAAGTGAGGACAAATGGCAAGGCAGTATTCTTGCTCTTCTGCTAACTGCAGGAGAGGCTTCTCCTTCAGCACTACTCAGAATTAAATTAAAGGAGGTGACAGGACACTAGATGGCTTAAAACATTGTCTAGAGTCTGTTAAACAGTGACAAGTGCTGAAATGACTGACAGAACAAACTTGATGACTTCTGGTGAAACAGTTATTTGCCGAGTAGTCTCACCAGTTCTTAGCAGGCTTACCATCTGGGGCTCTTGTTTGAAACCTGTCCTGTTGTGCACTTTTGCAGCTGGCTGTGAAGTGCCGTTGCAGCAGTATGCACTTCCTCGTTGCGGAGTGGAACGAACCATCCATCAGGTTCTATAAGAGAAGGGGTGCGTCTGATCTGTCCACCGAGGAGGGGTGGAGGCTCTTCAAAATTGACAAAGAATATCTCTTGAAGATGGCGTCAGAAGAGTGAGAGATTATTCCAGCAAATAAATTCTTTCTGCGAATATATATGCTCTCTGAATAAACTACTTCTTGCTTTCTGTGTACAGTTTGTAGTGGAATAAAGTAGTGTGGATGTTAATAATGAAAATGCTATGCATGTGTGGTCAGAGCAATTGGTACTGTGATCTGGAGTTGAGGCATCTGTGAAGTTGCGTATGGGCTTGTGTGTGTCCTTTACCAGTGTGGGCTTGTAATCTTTGTATATGGAAACTTCATTCTTGTAAGTGTCATTCAAATGTGTACAATGTACACACTGGTAGGGTTTGTTTTAATTATTGCCTTTTATAAAAATAAATAGTGTTTTCACTTTGTGGCAGTAGTTTTGACTTTAATTCTCACATATGGGTTTCAGTCAGATAACAATGTATATTGATAAAAGACACTCATCCAAACGTTTTCACAGGTGAAGCATGGATTACCACAGTCCCAGGGGGATAGAAGGTGTGCTTGTGTGCCTGCAGGACCTGGGCGTGAGCTTCTGTGCACCTGTGCTGGAGCTGAGCATTTGGAGATCACTCTCTGCTTCCTGCATGGTGGGGAGCATCCTCTCCAGTGAGGGTTCTGTGTGAGCGAGCTAAAGCTGAGTAGCAGCTGGTTCAGGGGCAGTCCCTCAGTTGGGCTGCTTTACTTCTGCAGCAACTTTCTAGAAGGCTGAAAGACTGGAGTGTGTGGTGGTATCTCCCTGGGACTGTGGGTCAACTGCAGAGCACCTTGGTCAGGAGGGCATAGCCTTGGAGGGGAGGATGCACCTCACAGTTCCAAAGCCTAAAACCACAAAAATAGGTTTGACTGGTCAGGAGTAGGAGAAAGTATCTTTACAAACCACACAACCCTTCCCTTATGTGAATCTTAAAACACAGACCTTGAAAGCTTCTGGTGTCCATACATCATTTTGGGTACTGTGCAGAGTTTTTCCTGTGCTTCAGTGCTGTGTAGTCGGTGGCGATTGTGTGAGCTGCTTGAAGGTCAGCGCTGTGGTAAGCAGTGAAAAACTGATCCTGTGTGTCTAAACCTTTGTACAGAGGGAAGTGAAAACAATGCTGCTCATCAACTTTTTAATCAGCTTGGAGACAAACTTTCCAACTTTGCAATGCTGCATCTGCCTTTCTCAGAAGTTGACGGTGAAGGTGTACATGCACATGTTCTAAGCCGTGTTCTCCTCTTGCTCTGAAGTAACCTCATGATAAAAGGTTGCTTTTGGCCAGTACTGCTTTTACTTCTAAAGGAAGGGATGAGACCTACCTGCCTTGTGACGTGCACTGGTTTAAACAAAACAAGGTTTTAAACTGATTGTGATCACTGTGTAAATTGTGTCAGCTGGAAGATGTCTCATCATAGGGAGTGGTGGGCAGTAACTGCTTCAACCGTGGGCAACCCTAACCTAACTTTAAGAACTCCATGTCCCTCTGCTAGCAGCAGGTTGTATGGCATAAAACCATTTTTGGTTTCCATTGTTTTTAACTCAGGCGTAGGCAAGCAGTGTACCTGCTCTGCCCAGGTGCGAGATACGGCTGTCAGCTGTTGCCTCGGGAATGAGAAAACCGGTAAGAAATACAGGAGCTCTTGGAAAAGAGTGGGAGGTAGCATGTGTCCAAGTGGTTGTCTGAACAAACACAGGCTGGACTGATCCTAGAATATGTGATGTAAATTACCCTGATTTAGCAGACCTGGTTCTGCGTAAGAACCGGTCATTTCCAGATGCTCCCCGTGACCGCCCAGCACCTCAGCTGTGAGAGCGTTCATACCACGTGCAGGAGCCTGAGGCTCCAATCCCACTCCTGCCGGAGGGGAACGGAAATCTGTGTTTCTCCCTTGACAGCAGATTAACTGCTAGGCTACGAACCACCCTGCGCTTGCAGAGGTGCTTGATGCTTGCTCTTGTTGAGCCTGTTCTATTCTGCAATTCAGCAGGCCACAGAACATGAGAGTGAGCCCACCCGATGAACTGGATGGGGAGCTGGGGCTGGAGGTGGTATGGGAAGGACGAGATGGTCTCCAGCAGCTCTCGCTGAGCCTCAGGGTGTTTTATCTTCTCACGGGTGAAGCTGCAGTAACTTCACTGGTAACCCAGTGAACTACAGTAACCTCCTCATGCGTCTCAGCCCTAGGGGAATCTGGTTTGGAGATATTTTAAGCTGGTCCTTCTGGCGCTGCGTATCAGTCCAGAAGGTGATTACTAGTAGAGCACTTTGAGAATGTTTTTATTTTCAAATTAACGGTTCATTAGATATCTAGGACAGACCTGCTTAAATCTCAGGCCCCAGACTTCTGGAGCGCAATAAGGCTATCAAAGCTGCATGACTGAATGGAACAAGCTAACTAATTAGGCATTATAATTAGGAAAGTAAGCAGCTTAGTCAAGTTTTCAATCAATTTAAAAATGTTTATCGTATCTTGTTCATCTTCTGCCAATGCAGTTTACCATTGCGTTTTCTAAACTAATTCTGCTGAAAGAGATTCTCAGGGAGTCACAGAAAACAAGCAAGGCAGTGCTAAATGAGAAGACCCTTTCTAGCCAACTGCGGTAATTTTGAACATTGACGCTTGAAAGACACGGACTAACCTTTCAGGTGTGACTTTCACTGAGATCCTACTAAGAGGTAGGGCTTTTAAAACCAACAGAAATGTTCTCACAGTTATGGTACAGAGTCTCCAACAGAGTGATGCCATGGCTCAAGAAAAGACCAATTTTAAGTCCCTCAATAACTTTTTCTCAAGCTACTGGGGGACCAAAGTGACTCTGTAACTACAATCGGGAGGTACAGCTGAGCGTTTTCTATGGATTTGGACATGGGAGAAACCTCACCCCGCTTGACTTTCTTCATTTCCAGGATGACGATCACACCACTAAGCTGCAGTGAGAGCATATGATGGGGGCTAAGCAACACCAGTAGGCTTTGAGCCAGTCACTGGTCTCACACCAGTGGGAATCCACCACATCACGGGCAGAGGGATTGGTGGGGCCCGCAGGCGTGCCGGCCTTTTGCCGTACCCTGTTTCCTCGCTGCAGCGTGCCTGCCTCTGAGGAAAAGTTAGAGAGCGCGTGTTACGACAGCGCTGATAACATCTCCGGGGAGGTGAGGTGCAGAGATCCTCCTTGCTCTCCCTCTCAACCTCATGACCCGGGAAGTCCTCCTCATGCCGAGCCGGGCAAGAGAAGGCTCCGCAATTGCAGTGTTTCCACGTTCCCATTGGGTGGGGATGGAAAGGTGGCCTCGGACAAACTTGTGGCCAGAGGACGCAGCAGAGGGCCATACCCTGCTGCGAGAAGGAGCGACGGACGGGCTCGCCGCCCCCTCTCCGCCAAGCATTTTCCTGCTCACAGGCTCCCGCACAATGATCCGAGCCGTAGCCATAGTGACGGCATGGAAGGAGGCCTTTTTGTCTACATAATTTGAGTTAAAACATAATATATGCGAGAAAAACAACCCTTCCCCCTCCCATCTTCTTCTAAAGAGCCTTTGCTCTCCACGTAATTCGAAAAGCCAACACAAACTTCTCCCCCAAAAAGCATATAGGTGCTTTAATGCCTTCCTGCACGCGGCGTTTCGTCTTGGGAGGCTTGCCATCCTGGAGCCTGGCCAGCTGCACGCGGAGGTCTCGCTGACGCAGCTGCAGGGAAAACACCAGCTACGTGTGGAGCAGGGGCTCAGGAAACCATTGCGTAATCGGCCGCCGCACGGCGTTACCTCGGGATGGAGGCTAGCCTGGGGACGTGCTCCCTGCCTCCCTTGCTTTGAGCTGACCAGGGGGGGTTATTTCCTTCAGCTTGTACAAGTTTCCTCCTCACAGCGCTCGCCCTCCCCGGGCTCTCCCTCCACACGCCTGGAGGAGCCGAAGCTGAGGGGCAGGCACGCGCTCATGGCCGTGCATGCACGCACGCGCGGGCACGCGCCGGCTGATGGCAGCGCTGAGGAAACCTGCAGCGGGCAGCTGTTTGCCTTGGCTTAAATAATTCACCTCACGTAACAGGCTCTCGGCTTTGCCCAGTTGTTTTGCTTGCCTGCCACTAATGTTTAATCGCACTGTGGGCTCAAAGCAGGCCGTAACTTCACCATCCAGGCGTGACTCCCTCCCAGGACTCTTCTTTCTCCCCCTGCCCCCCACCAGACCTGGCTAACGTTTTTTTTGCTGCAGAGTAGGTTTTTGGTAAGTGCAACCTTGATGGAGGGCTTTAAAGTCCCTTGGGAGCCCAGGCTAGTCCCCGCAGGGAGCTCTCGTGGAGGAGAGGGTGTAAGGCTGGCGATGGTGGACGTGGGCTCTGGGGGTGGGAGCCCAGCGCCGCGCTGCCAGGTGCGCTTTGCCTCTTCCCCAGGCCTCGCCCCACCGAGCTCTGGCTTTTTTGCTGTCAGAAACACTCACTGTGGTTGATAACAGAATAAGGCACAGGTACACACCTTTACTGAAAATAGGGAAGGGGGTGGAATTCAGTCTTCAAACCAGTTTCGGTTTCATTTCACAGATTTACTGGAGGCCAAAGCGAAAGATAAAAGCCCCAGGCGATAATTAGCTCATGAGGATGAAAAACAAACACTGGTTGCAGAAACTCCTCTGAGTTAAATAGTTTTTGTTTGTTTGCATTTGGACGTTTGCGTATTTCTATTGTTCACGCAGCAGGTGTGAGCCGGTCACGTTCACTCAAAGGGAAAAGGCATCTCCGTTTTCTTGAGCTCTGTTTTCCTTCTCCACCAAAACAGGTTAAAAATGAACATACTCTGGCAAGATGAAACCAGGTGCCCGTCCTCTCCATAAAATTTGCCAGACAGCGTGATGAGGTGGCTTCACATCTTCTAAATCACTTCCCAGGAGCCCACCGTGCGGGGAAGGGACTTGAACCCCTGAAATTCCTACTAGAAACCTTCCTCCACCTGGGGAAAAAAGCAGGAGAGAGACTGTAGCTTTTCACATGAAAGCCCATCAGTGTTTCCAAGCAACCTGAATATTGCAGTGGTATTTTCAAAACACACCAGTAAAAGTGCAGGGTGAAATTTTCAAAGCTGGTTCCT